CCTCTGGCCATCTAGCTTTGTCAGTTTTTATGTTAGAAAGCAGCACTTTGCTTTTGTATATTTTCTAACAGTGGAATCCATCAGTTTCTTCTCAGTGCCCTTGTCCAGACGACCATCAAAGAGAGAATTGGTCAGAATTGAGTGGGAATCCTTGAGTGCTTAATAAATATTAATTGTGTTGATTTTTAAATTTAAAATTGTATAGGTTCTCTTTAAGAGAAAGATCATGTAATGGTCATCAGGCTTGAAATAATTATTCCTTAAAGAGTGTATGTTTTACACAGAATTTGTATTGAGGCATATTTCTGTGCTCAAGGAGCTTACCATCTGAACATGAGGAAGCAAGCTTAGTTTCAGTTGTGTTGTTTTGAAACTAGAAGCTGTGTCTTCTCTAACTGCTTTTTCAACTGTTTAAATATCCTCTCCTCACATAATACCCACGATATCTTCTAATCTTTGGTCCCTGAGCACACACTAGGCATAAAACAGGAGGGTCTCAGGAGGCCATGGAGTTCATTCAGCTGCCCCAAGGGCCATGGTCCGGCCCCCCTGCCACTCCGTACCCCCGCCTTCCCAGGATGGCTCTTGACTCATTGGCTTATCCCTGAATGCCGGTCTTCCAGCTCAGTTCTCATAGCTTAAGGCTTTGTAGTCCTTTGCTTCCTGTTGATGAGTGGAGATACTGTTAGGGAGATGGAACAGGTGAAGTGTTACTGGTCTTGTCTGGAGTTTTTAGAGCCTTCTTTGAGAAGCCTGTTAAAAACACACTCATACATGTATTACACCTATTATAGTCTCTTGGCTTTTAAAAATTACCTGAATAATCCACGTTTACTAGACCATGTCAAACAATTCAGAGGAATGTAAAGTACAATTGAGTCTCTCTCTTGCCACCTTCAGCCTCACCTCTAACCCCCATATGACCAGTGTGGACACTTTCATGTGTATCTCCCCGTGTTTTTTCTAAATATATAGAAACTTAGATATAGGATTGGTTGGTTGTTTGGAAAAGATTGAGGATGGTGTTTTTTTAAAAATGCAATTGCATTAAACATGGTATTCTGCTACTTTGTTTCTTTCTCATATAATAGCATATTCTAGATAATATTCCAAACATACATTTTTGTTGAAGGGAAGAATATGAAAGCACTTGACTTAGGGAAGGGTACTGCTGCTTCTGGGGAGGAGGAGAGAGGAGAAAAGACGGAACGCACTGTCCATCTTGTGGGGACTGCTGTTGGCCGCCCTTCGAAGTAGGATGTGGACAGTCTACCCTTCTCCTCCCTCTCCAGGGTTCCGGATTCACCACTGTTAGGGAGACTGTACACATTTTCAGTTTTCATTTTAATTCGTTATGTCCTACCATGAAATGGCAGATCTATAGTCTGTCCTATTGCTATAAACATCTAGTAATCAGAGGGCAGTTTGTTTTCCACTTCAGTTAATTTGGTACAGGTATCGATCGACTTACGACCTATGCAACTTACGACCATTAGACTTTACGACCACAATTGCTAGCCACGACTGCTCCGCGTCTGGCAGCGCAAACGTTGCCCAGCTGGGCGTACGACAGTGCGGACCAGCTTCCGGCAGCACTACCATCTCCGCGTGCATATAGCCTACTCAACTTACGACCAAATCGTGTTACGACTGGTCTGTCGGAACCAATCGTGGTCATAAGTCGAGCACTAGCTGTAGTTTTAAGAATGAAAAGGTGTTTCTACCTAATACCAACATTTGCAAGTTTGGCAGTAGGGATTTGGGGCTGAGCCAGTCTTAAATATTAAAAATAAAAGATTTTTCTTGCTTTTGCCTCTCTGTATTATTTTGTGTTGAATTGCAGATTTGGGGTTCCATACTGCGAGTACAAGGTGGGATTGGGGCCAAGGAGTGTTGATGTCTCCCATGAATAGGGGAGCAGCTGCTAGACAGCCATGTCCTGTGTCCTCTGCCTGGTTCCCAGTTCCTTAGGGGCCCTGGCTGCTATCCCAGCCCATTTGGAAGAGGGAACTCAACTTGACCTTGATGACAGCTGTATGATTTCCTGGGACTGGTTACCTCCTTTAGGTCACACAGGCTGCTAATGAGTGCCAGGTCATGCACAGGCTCAGTCCCTTGTTGATGGTGCGAAGGACAAGGTCTTCCTCATGCTGCCACAGACTTCTGCAGAGCCTGGGCCAGGTTTCCCATCTTAGGGTAGGGAAAAAGTCATTTGTGTTTTACAAGGAAAATTTGAAGTTCAATATTTGTAGGTAAACAACTTGAAATCTTTCTCTGGAAAGCACTGTAGAAATATGTTATCTCTAATGGCTCTGAACAAGAGTTGTGTAGGAACTGTCAGTGCTGATGAATGTGTTTTCTTTCTGACCCCTCTTTTTAGAACGCACACAGCAGTTAAAATAGCTCCAAGATACAGTGCGCCTGTAATCCATGTGCTGGACGCATCCAAGAGTGTGGTGGTGGTAAGCTGGTGACCTCACATTTTATTCCAGATGTGTTGTAAAGAGTGTAAGGGTGTAACCTAAGATCTATTCCCCTTTATCCATTTCTACTCAATAAAGCTCAGAGAGCAGGGTCTACAGTGACTGCCTTGCTGGAAGGAGGTCCAGGTGACCATGTCCTGTACTTTCCAAGACAGTTAGAACTGAGCAGCAGACAGGTAGATGACGGGGCACCAAGACACCTTTGATCTGGACACTAACTAGACAAAGATTTCACCCACTCACAAACATGGATAGATATTTACTTGACTGTGTAAAAGGAATGTTGGATTTTTAAATGACTTTTCTCCAGATAGAAAAACAAACTTGAAAGTGTCCTAGTTGACCCTACCCAAAGACAGAAAAACATCTGCTAGATATTTAAAACCCAGAACAATCGTTTCTCTTTCTCAGTGAACATCATAACCAATTCACCCACAGGTCTTTCTCTGCTTTTCTTTTTCAGTGAAGCCTAACATTCTATCTTGTTATAGATTTCATTGTTTTCACTGAATAATGGGATATAACAGCTGGGGGACACCCGAGACAGTGTGGTCCAGTGATTTCCAAATGGATTTCAGCCACAGAATCTTTGTCGGTTAAGTGATGTCTTACCTGGAAATTCAATGTGGCAGAATTTCCAGGTAAGACATCACTTAACAGACAAGGCAGAGAACAGTCGAACTGCCCTTTCCGTTCTTCATCCCACCTCTCTTACTGATTGGAAGAGCACAGTTTGAGAACCACAGATCTAGTCCAACCTTTCTTCAGGCGAGGAAGGTTACTGAGGTGGCCTGGTGATCTGTGGGACTTCCAGTGATGTCACGTGACCTGGACTAGGGTGGCCACATTTCCTGAGCTGTCTTCCAAAGAAATTATTTCAGATCTGTGCATTTATTTACATGAAAGTTATATAATAATCGCTAACATTATTGAAAACGCGTAGTGTGCCAGGTACTGAGCCAAGTGTTTTACGTGGATTATTTTGTTTTATCCTCAGGATAACCTCACAAGGTAGGTATTTTTATTGTCCCCAGTGTAGAGATCAGGAAACAGAGGAATAAAGAAATTAATAACTCTGCTGAGACCACACATCTGTCAAGTGGCAGGTGTGGGATTTGAATGCAGGTTACCTTACTCTATGTTAAATTAAACTTGTTTAATAATTCTCTTTTATTAAAAAGTGTAAAAGTAACTCCGGCTGGGATCATAAAATTTTAATTGTTTATTTGCCACCGATGTAGACAAATATGCAAATAAGCTGCATTTTTACAACTCAACTTTAAAACAATTTTTGTTTCTTATTCTTGGATTGTGCTCCATAGGAGCTTATATCAGGGCCATGGTTGAGTGCAGTGGGCCTCTTAACACTTGTCATTATTTTCAAACACTGATGCTTAGCCCTGAACAGTTTCCATTCAGAGGCAAGACTTTTGGACCCATTTAGGTGCATGGCGCTAGACTTTTCTCTACAGGTAAAGGAAAGAATCAGCCCCCTTGAGCCCATGTTTGGAGGACAAGCTCCTTCACCATCTTTTTTTTTTTTTTTTTTTTTGAGATGAGTGTTGCTCTGTTGCCCAGGCTGGAGTGCAATGGTGCGATCTCGGCTCACTGCAACCTCTGCCTCCCAGTTCAAGTAATCCCCCTGCCTCAGCTTCTTGAATAGCTGGGATTACAGGTGTGTGCCACCACAGCCAGCTAATTTTTTCATCATGTAGGCCAGGCTGGCCTCAGACTCCTAACTTCAAGTGATCCATCTGCTTGGGCCTCCCAGAGTACTGGGATTACAGGCATAAGCCACTGCGCCCAGCCCTCTTGAAGAGCTAGAGTAGTGGGGACCTGGCCGAAAGCCACATAGAGAATGAGGAACAGGTGTTGGTGTTCTTTACAGTTTGGTCCAGCCACGCAGCCAGCAGCTCCAGTTAGCTCCTTCATGTACAAAGAAACAACCACGTTCTGAACGTACTCAAACATAAGTCAGATGATAAATCATGTGAGTAACTGCTAGTGACACTTCAGGAGCCAGTGGTATAATTTGTTTGAGTTGGTTGTGGGCTCATTGGCTCAGGCTCTTTTGATCTAACTGAAATGAGCATGGAACAGGATCACATTTTATGAACAGTCTTATGTATTTATAAGATTCCACAAATACTTAATGGTTAGAGATTTAGATCCAAGGATTCTCCCTTCCTTTCTTTTTTCTTCTTTAATAGAAAACGAGGTGCCAATATTTTATGCTTTTAAAATTATAAAATATCTTTTCAATTTATTCCCTCTTACTGTGTGGCTGTTGCCATGAAGTACAATTTTTTAAAATGAAGGAAAATATAAACTACGATATGTCCCAGTGGTTGGCATGAAAACACATGATGGATTTGATTTTTTTGGTGGAAGGATCATGTAAGTTAGCCCACATATATTGACCATGAACTTGTTTCCATCAAGTAAGTCCGACTGGGCAGGAAGGGGCCTGCCACTGCAGCCCTGGGAGCAGCGGGCTCCATGGGGCTGTGGTAGCAAACTGCATTGGTATGTTCTGTCTACACAGCAGCACCAACATCAGGGGGCTTGTGGATTCTTTGAATGTCAAGGACATCTGGTTTTGCTTTCTCAGAGTGTATAATCTAGCAAAATGTAAGAAGGTTTTAAGACATTGGTTACATGTACTACAGGGATTTCAGAGTAGGCATTCCCTTCTTGTTTCATTGGGCTGTGCTGGGTTTCCTAGACAAGGACTCCACTGAGGTGAGTTTAATGTAAGGTTGGGAAATACTCTGTGGTGTGAACACCATTTGGAAGCCTCTTTTTGGCCTGCCACAATGGCCTTTTCTGATTGTATTCCTGAATGAGGTGATGTTGCTTCATACTAACTCATAGATGATTGGATTGTTATTAGAGATACTTAGAAAACCCATGTGGAGTTAATGCTGGTTTTAGCCATCATTCAGTCTAACTTCCTTAAGTTCAGATGAAGATGTTGAACTTTCTTACCTTTTTGTATGTTAGATAATCCTGCTGCAGAATGTAGGGAGGGGGCAGTGCTATGTTTATTTTTTAACTGATGTGATCAATAGTTGCCATTTCTTCTTTCTACATAGTATCATTATGTGCTTTGATGGTAGCTATTCTTCTATCAATGTGATAATCATAGTAACGAATAATATTTAGCTGAACCTAGTTTTACAATTTAATGAGTAGACTCATGTTTTCTCAGATTATTGGTTTCCTTTCCAATTTTAGCAGAAACGTACAGTGGACTATGAAGATTAGCCTCATTCCCTCAGCAGACAGTGAGAATGCACCTCCAGACACTGGGCTAGGCATCAGGGGCATGAAGGTGGTTGATGTGTGATTGCAGCTCTCACAGGCCTTTCAAGTAAGGGAAGTAGATACATAAATTGATACTAAAAGGCTGTGGAAAGTAGATAAACAGAATATCTTTGAAACATTGAGTTGGGGGTTACCTAACCCAGAGGGTTCCCAAGACCACCTTCAGGTTCAAAGATTGCTAGAAGGACACAGAAAACCCAGAAAAACTGTTATGCTCATGACCATGGTTTATTATTGTGAAAGGATATAGGTTAAAATCAGGGAAGGCCAAAGGCACAAAGGATGGAATGCAGGCGAGACCAGGTACAAGCTCTCAGGTGTCATCTCTCTATAGAGTAATCCGGGTGGTGCTTCATTCTTCCACTAGTGATATGTGACAGAATGTAAGGAGCCTTGCCAACCCAGAAGCTTACCTGAGCCTTCATGTCCTTGGTGTGGGGGTTGGTCACATAGGCCCAGAATGCCCATGTGACTAGCCTTAATTGCTCAGTCTTCAGTCCCTGCAGAGGTCAAGCAGAAGCGTGAGCTGAGGCCCCCCCTCCATAAATCAGACTGTTAGCATAAACCATCTAACGTGGCCCAGGGTGCCAGGTATACAGTGACTCTCTTATCCAGGCAGGCTATCCCAAGGGGTTAGAGTTTGTCTTTCAGAAAACAGTCAAGGACCGGTTCTTTCTTTGGCTTGTGCAGTGATTGAACATCCCAAGCCCACTGAGTTTACCCTTTCCTGCACGCCAGGCAGGAATTAGCACAGTTGGTGAAGGGAGAAGAAATGAAGTTAAGGAAGCTGCCTTCCTGAATGAGGTGTCACCAGAGTTTACCATTAGTGCACCAATTTTATCATCTTTTGCTGATCTATGATTATCTTGCATTTTCAGTGTTCTCAACTGTTAGATGAAAATCTAAAGGATGAATACTTTGAGGAAATCATGGAAGAATATGAAGATATTAGACAGGACCATTATGAGTCTCTCAAGGTAAGTAGTAGAAACAGGTCTTTGCTTATTTTTAATGTGACTAGTTTTTATGATCCTAGTTTTTAATGTGACTTTTAAAAATGGTTTTGAGGAGAGTAAAAGGCTTAGGATCATTTTAGAGAATTTCTATCTTCTAGTTCAAATCAGAGGTCTTCAGTGTTTAAGTTCCCAAATAATTTTTGGTTATATTAAAATGAATTTTATTTATTGAGCCAAATATTTATTGGGTACCCAGTAGGTGTTAGGAGCTGTGCTAGATATGAGAGCTCTGATAATGAATAAAACATGAGTTCATACTCAGCAGGAAAACAGGCACTGAAACAGTGTACTGCAGTGACTCCCTCAGATCCCCATTCTTGAGGCGCTAATGGAAGAAAATGGAGACATGAGGCAGGACCAGTGTAAGCCTCCTTCCCTGACTGGCCAGCGCTGACTGTGCAGAATGATGTTTGAAGAACTGGCCCTCTCTTGATAAGCTTCAGGGAATCCATGGAGAACGGGCATAATTGTGCTTTAGAAGTCACTGAAATGTTTGTTTCTGGTTATCTGCCTTCTGGGCATTGATGGGGGCATTTTGGGAGTTGCTAGGCAAGTGAAGTGAGATCAACAGCATGAAGAAAACATGCTGTTTTGCTTCTGAGGTGCCAGCTAGGCCAAGGCACAGTGGTTGGCTTTTTTCTCTCCTAAGGTTTGCCCACAGTGGACAGTGTCTTTAATTCTACCTTCTGGTCCTCAGGGTCAGCCAGGGAAGGCCAGTTAACAGCTGGCCTCAGGAGTTCTAAAAGTGCAGGTAGGACACCTCGCTAGTACCTGAGGTTCAGGCCGGAGAACCAGGCTTGTATTCACATATCAATAATTAATGGATGCTTCTTGAGTCTTTATTGTCTGTCGTTCTGGTGCCAATGTGAAACCGGCTGGACAGAAAAGGAAGAGCTTTTTAGGATAAGGATTCTCATGAATAAAAGCATTTGCTTTCTTGAAAAGCTTACATAATGGCCTTTTTGGACATGTTTTCATAGTAACTGTGGAAAAGCTAAAGTCTCTAATTTTTCTTTGTTTTTTAACAGGACAGGAGATACTTACCGTTAAGTCAAGCCAGAAAAAGTGGTTTCCGAATGGATTGGCTGTCTGAACCTCACCCAGGTCTGTTTGGCTATGGAGTAGAGGAAGACTGGATGTGGTAATTCTAGTGTGTGGAGGAAATATATGCATTTACTTGGCTATAAAATCAATCAGCTAACAACTCTGAACTGTTTCTAATGATGATGGGTGACTGATGTCTGGAAAGAATGGGAGTAGATACCATTTATGGAGCAGGTGTTGTGGGCCAGACACTGTCCTGGATGGACTTCCAGCCCCTCTCGGAGTCCTTCAGACAACTCCATAATGGACATGGGAATTATCCTCATTTTAATTTGAAGAAACTGAGTTTTGGGTAGAAACTTGAAAAGTTACTAGGAACCTCTCTGGGATTTGTCTTCTAAAGCCACACTCTTTCCTCTGTGCCATGCTTGAGTGGGCCTCCGTCTCCTTGAAGGAAGTTCTGTGGAGACCTGCCTGGGTGGTACTGTCACCTGAGGTGGCCTGGGTCTCTGACAGGCCCAAGGGCAGACGTGAAATGTCTAAAATCAGAAGCGCCTTCGCATTCACACATCTTTAAAACACTGCAGCAAAGCAGGATCCTCTGTTTCCTGCTTTCTCTCTTGTTCTCTCTTGTCCTCTTTCTGGATGTTTCTCTTTCTTTTATTTGGTTTCTTCCTTTTTTAAATTTCTAGCTATCTTTCTTGCCTCACATAGGTATTCACAAAGGAATAAAATGTGTAAGATGTTTTGACAGACGCAGAGAGGCGTGAGACACAAATGCAAAACCAGGACAGAGTGAACAGGGGTTATATTAATTGAATCCATATTTCCAAGGTAATGTCTCAAATCAGCTTTCGTTGCTCACGACATCTGTGTTCTACACATGCTTAGCAGAGCTGAGAGGATTAAATTGGAAATGTAGGTGTGCTTGGTTCTAATTTCATCCCTGCTGAGTTCAGCGTGGTTTAGTGGAAAGAGTGCCATTTCGGGAGCCGGGAGGCCGGGGTTCTCATCCCAACGTGGCTCCTGGCTCTGACTCACGAGTGACCTTGAGCAGCTTGCTTCCACGTTTGACAGTTTCTACCATGTAAAAAAAAGGTGTTTTTTGGAAATGTTGTGAGGGCTAAATAGTACTTGAAAACCTTTGAAAAAATATAAATTGCTATATAGTTCAAACTGTGATTATTTGCTCTGTATCTTTCCCTGTGAAATTGGAATAATAACACAAGGGCAAGTCTGTTTGGATCAGATCAGACATCCAAAACATATTTTGCTGGAAATAGGCCTCCAAAGGCCCACAGGACCTGGCAGCGGTTGGGACGGGTTTTGAGTGGCCGCTTTAACCTCTGGCACGGGGCTACTGCAGGGCCTGTCCTGCTGCCCAAGGGCCATGAAGCCCTGAGGCCTGGCCCTCTGAAATATGCCTGAGGACAGCCAGTCCTAAGGTAATTGCAGGAAGTCGATAGGGGGTAAAGGAGGGTCTTCGTTTAAGGCCCTGATGGCAAAACCTCAAACATTTCTTAAACTCTGGGAGACGAGCTTGGCCAAAAGAGGGTCCCTCAGTGGCTCTGCAGTAGTGCGTGCTCTCTGCCTTCCCAGGAGAGAGGACACTAGAATCAAGGGTCTATCTGTAGATTACTTTTAGTGTCTCTATGAAGGGGACTATAAAGAGTTTTGTACCAACAAACCAACATAATAGGATATTTCCAAAGAGGAGATTGTCCCGTGTAGTAGAAGGATGATGAGGAAGAAATGGGAAAGGGCTACTGTGAACAAGTATGAAAAAGTGGAGATTTCCAGGCAGAGCAAGAAGCTAGTCATACTTTTCCTGTGCTCTCACCTCCTATTTTTACTGCCAAATGAGAGAAAAATACTCTGGAAGCCTCTGTGTTCTCCCAGAGCCCCTGAGATTGGTAGAATAGGAAGTTCTCTGATGCCTGGTTACAAATCAGGAAGTAGAGAGACAGGAAGGCTCAGATATGGCAGTGGGGTCAACACCTTAGACTCCAGCCTGACCCTGCCACGTCAGACCAGAGTCCTAGGTGCGGACCGCACTACGGGCTGGAGGGCAGCGGCAGTGCTGCTCTGCCTGCCCCAGAGAGCCCAGCACACCATCTGTCTCTGAAGTCTTCACCATTATTTAAATTATGATACATTTTAGACTCACCAGGAGGTATAAAGAACAATGTATTAAACATCCCTGCAAACCCACTAGCCAGCTTACGACATAACCTACCACCTGATTTTTAAAAAACAAAGCAGAGTCAACAGAGGTTAGATTAATTTTCCAAGGTAATATCTCACATCAGCTTTCATTGACCACATCTGTGTTGCACCCGTGCTCAGAGTTGAGGGTTATGTATTGAGGAATATGTATCAGAAGTTCCACGCGTGTCCCTTCCTCCCCTGCTGAAATCACTGCAGTCCTGAATTTGGGACTTCATTTTCCTGTACTTTGGGCATATGTATCAGCAGGCAATATAGATGATTGTTTCTGGTCTTGAAACTTGAGATAAGTAGCTTACTCTCTACGCCTTTCTGCAGTGCTCTTCATGTTCACCTTGTCTTCATTTGTACAAGTGAGGATTAACCCATCTGTCTCTCCTTCTTGGGCGGGGGGGTAGGGATAGAAGGGCTGAGGGAACAGTTTCCAGGGGTGGTGTAGTCAGTCAGCTGCATGTGAAGAATAGTTTTATTTAAGACTCAGTGCAGAATTACTCCTTCTCCACGATAATTTAAAGTTCCCCTCTTTGTAAAACAACTCCTACGGGTGACAGGAGGGAGGCAGAGCGTGGGAGCTGGCAGAGCACTGAGGAGCTGGCAGGGAGGCCTCCATCAGGCGGGGTGCCAGCGTCAGCACTGACAACCACACTTCTTTCCTCCAGTGAAGCCCACCTTTATTGGGACCCAGGTCTTTGAAGACTATGACCTGCAGAAGCTGGTGGACTACATTGACTGGAAGCCTTTCTTTGATGTCTGGCAGCTCCGGGGCAAGTACCCGAATCGAGGCTTTCCCAAGATATTTAACGACAAAACAGTAGGTCAGTGCAGTAAGTCCTTCCTGTCTGCCTCTGATATTCAAGATGTAGGATTGTGACTTTGAAGACAGGAATTGGTGAGGAGCAGTGAATGTGGATTGTGCAGATAACAGCTGCTTTCATATTGCTCACCTGCCCAACTTCTTAATGCTTTTTGAACTGCTAGATTGGTCCTTATTATATCAACTAAATTTGGTATCTACTTTATTCTTTTAATAAATGTTTATTGACGTCAGTTACATGCTGGGCTCTAGGGATAAATGGAAGACGATATAATCCCTGCCGTCTAGTACCGACTAGCTGCACAGCCAATAGTAATGGGCCCTGCCTGGGCTCGTGTGGGCACAAGAAGAAAAGATAGAGCTCAGACTGAGAGGTCAGGGCAGGCTTCCTGGAAGAGGTGGCGTTTGAACTATTTTTGAGGATTCAGTGGGAGTTGCTGTGGTGGGACTATAGATGTGATAAGGTGTTGAAGAAAAGGACATTGCAGGTAGAGGAGACAGTATGAGAAGGCACAGGCATGTGTGCCTAATTGGGGAACTGCAGGGAGTCCATTTTGCTTAGAGCTTTGGGGAGGGAATGGGGATTTGGGGTGAGAAACCAGAGAAGTAGGTGAGGTGATAAATTACTACCCCCTACTTCTCACTTCAAGTCTCACCCCAAAACCCACCCACAGAGACCGGAATCCAAATCCAAAGCCATTCATAGGATCAGGTAGTAGGCACATCAGAGCAACAAAGAGGGGTGGACCCACAGAACATGGGATTAGGGTGGAGAGGAGCCTGAGAAACCAGCCTCTTGCCAAGTTTCCCAGAAGCGGAGTCTGGGTGTGTGTGTTAGGATGCTGAGACTCAGGAGCTCTCAGGTAGCCAGGAACATGGTGGTGGGCAAGGGGCTTCTCATTGTGCTGCCCCTCAGTCATCACAGGTGAGCTGTCCAGGGGCCGTAGAACAGGCTGCTTACCATGGGCAGGGCGGCCAGTCTCACAGACCCAGAAACCGAGAGGGTGTCCTGGGAGCCTGGCCCCCACTGCAGGTCCCAGAGCAGGGCAGACAGGTGCAACACTAAAGCCAGTATGAGGATTTAGGCCACACTTCATTCCTTACCACTGACGTTCATTGTGCACATACAATTCCACTGACTTCACAGTGACTCTGGAGGACCTGACCTGTGCCTTGTGTTCGGCGTGCCTTGTATTCTGTGGTGTCCGAGCCTGGGTGCATATAGTAAGGATGTACTGAGCCTGAGTGCATCTGGTAAGGATGTAGCTGTCCTTGTTTAACTCTTCACGGTACTGTTTAAGGCCCCAAATTTAAGAATCCCTTCAGATGTTGTTATGGTCAAAATATCAGTCGTTATGAATTGTATTGTGGTTGGGATTTAAAGCACCACAGACATAAGGCACAGGTCATGTCTCCCAGAGTCACTGTGAAGTCAGTGGAGTTGTACATGCATGAGGAATGTCAGCGAGTCAGGAATCTGGCCTGCTTTTTCTCATCCTCTCTGACAGAATGCTTTGGGGAGCCACAGCTTTGGCTTTCTGCCTTTTGTCCAATGGAAAATTGAAGTGACTTGAACTGGGAGAAGCAGACTGTGGGAGCTGCACTTAGCAGGAACCGCAAAACCCTGGCTGTTCTACTTTAAGCTAGGTCAGTGGCAAGCAACAGAGAGCATTTGAGGAAAATAGAGAAGGGTGAGGAGGGAAGGTGACTGAGCAGGGGTAATGGTTTTTAAAAGAAGCATTGTTTGATGGGTATTTTTGGCATCTTTAAGTGAATCCTTACTATGTTTTTCTAATAGGTGAAGAGGCCAAAAAGGTCTACGACGATGCCCGAGATATGCTGAACACACTGATTAGTCAAAGGAAACTCCAAGCCAGGGGAGTGGTTGGGTTCTGGCCAGCACAGAGTGTCCAAGACGACATTCACCTGTACGCAGAGGGTGCCGTGCCCCAGGCTGCAGAGCCCATAGCCACCTTCTATGGGTTAAGGCAACAGGTATGGAAGGACTTGACAGCCAGCACACTGCTCTCACTTGTGAGTTTAAGTGCTAAGCCGAAGAGCTTTGCATAAATGAGAGTCTGCCCCACCTCCTCCCAAGTGACCAATCACTCAGCCAAGCCCAAGGCCTGTGTGGATGGTGGAGAGAAGGCGCCCACGTGGGTGGCAGCGGCAGGGCCACTCCACAGGAGTGAGGCATGTCATGTTGTGTGCCACGGATGGACGAGAACCACTGCTGCTGTCTCAGGTGGTCACATGTCCGTCTTCGCAGCTTCTGAAGGAAGAGAACGCTCACTAGTGCAAAGCTGGTTAACCTCAATGCACATTATTAAAATAGACTGTGGCTCCCCATGAAAGGGGAAGACAGGTGGAAACCAACATTTGCAGAATGTATTCCAGGTGCCAGGTGCTAGTGAGGTGCCGGATGGGTCATCCTTTTAATTTCCACACAGCTGTGTCAGGCAGTTGAAGTTTCTGTTGTGCAGAGAAGATGAAGGCTGGTGGAGATTGTGCTGGGCCCCCCTCTATAGAGGGGAGAGCCAGCCTGTGCACACCCCCAATGGCTGTTCTTTCACTGTGCTGGCTGCTTTTCTTTGGTGTGGTGAGAACAGACTCTTCTCAGCGACTTCTTTCTCATTGCCCCACCTTTGAAAAGGCAGATATCCTATGCATGTCCCTTTAGGTGCTGTAAAAAAGGGTGTCTCAATCAAGAATTGGAACCAGAATTATTCTTTCTGTATTACTGCCATTTTCAGTCATTCAAAAATGGTATTGTTGGCTAGGTACAGTGGCTGACACCTGTAATCCCAGCACTTTGAGAAGCCGAGGTGGGAGGATTGCTTGAGCCCAGGAGTTTGAGACCAGCCTGGGCAAGATGGCAAGACCCTGCCTCTACAAAAAAAAAAAAAATTAAAAATTAGCAGTACACTGGGGAGTGCATACCTGTATGCCTGTATTCCCAACTACTTGGGAAGATGAGGTCGGAGGATCACTTGAGCCCAGGAGTTCAAGGCTGCAGTAAGCTGTGATCATGCTATATTCTCCAGTGTGGGCAACAGAGCCAGACACTGTCTCTGAAAAACAAGCAAACAAAAAGATAGTGGTGCTTTTAAATCCCAACCACAGTATAATTCATAATGATCGATATTTTGACCATAACAACATCTGAAGGGATTCTGAAATTTGGGGCCTTAACCAGTACCATGAAGAGTTAAAGCTACATCCTTACCATATGCACTCATGCTCAGTAAATCCCTACTGCGTGCACCCAGGCTCAGTTACCACAGAATACAAGGCACTGGGGTTCTAATGTTAATTTCCTGCCTCTCTTCGCTAGGGAATTTGTGGCTTTTCTTTTACAAACATAACTATTCAGAAACCTCTGTTCTGCTCTAGCCCAGTCTTTCATCTTTCGAGTCCTGTGTCCCCTGCGGTCTCTTTTTGCTTCCAGTACTATTCATGTCCAGGCAGTCTGTGACATATTAGGGCATTTAATCGAGTGAATTCTCAGAGTTCACCTTTTTAATAGCCTCTGGAGAGGGGAACTGGGCCAGGCACATACGTTACCTACCCAGGTGGCGATTTCTCAGGAGGGGCTTTCCTCCAGTGCACTCTGGAACATTCTGCAGCAGTGCCTTATTACTCTGGGAGTCTGCTCTTCTGAGTAGGCTCTGATTGCTGTCTCTTCTAAGGTACCATGGGGCTCTGTGATCTGTCTCTCCTGTGGTGCAGGGAAGCTTTGGGTCCCCCTCTGGCTTTTGTTAGCAAAGAATAATTGATGAGCCGAGTATACCTGGAAAACGGCTTCCCCACGCACAGCTGTCCCCGAGCTCTGTGACATTCCTGTATGCCATTACCAAACACCTCCTCGCCTGCACTTAATGACTTCCTGCCCTGTGTCAGTGAGGCTGTGCTTGCCTCCACAGCTGGCAGCGAGCTGTGGGGTATCTGGGTTGGCCACTCCTTGATTAATTGATTGGTCCCAAGCAGTACTAAATATATAGGAGCATGGGTTGTGGTATCAGCCCCCTGACCCTCCCACTGTCTGACCTCAAGCTTCCTATGCCTCTGATTTCTTGTCTGTAAAACGGAACTGGTGATATCACTCATGTCACAAGGAGGTTGGGAGGGTTAAATTAGTAATTCATATAAAGCACCAAGAACAGGCACAGAGTAACTACTGAATAAGTATTAGTTATAAGCTATTTACCTTCTCAGCAAATATTTATTGATTTTTAAAATATGTATAAGACCTTATTTATTAACTTAGTTGCAGGGAAGAGTTGCTCATCAGCTGAGGGTGAAAAATTGGGGAGGATAGGCCCCGGGGCTGTGGAGAGAATCCAGAAGCAAATCCTGCTGAATTCTTGGTTTGGTTCCCAGCCGTCCTTGGGTGTCCTCAGCCAGCTCCTGTATGACCCTCCCCCCGCACCACACCACATGGCAGGCAGCACGTGCCCTGGGCATTGCTGATCCCAACAGTTTGTTGTTTGAGCTACTTCTGTTGATGCTATGGAGGCTTTTCCATTTACTGGATCTCTTTCAAACATGGTGCTGGACTTAATTGAAAACACTTGAGGACAAATTTTTTTTTTTTTTTTTTTTAAAGCCCGTGATTTCAGCACAGTGCCCGAAGGCATTCATTAATGTTTGGTCAGTGTGTGAATGAATGAGTGAACTGGTGTCTTGACTCTTTATGTTATGTCATGTCATATTTTTTTAAAAATTTCATTTGTTTATCTAACAAATATTTATTGAATACTCACTGTGTGTCAGACACAATTCCAAGTGCTGGGGATGTAACAGTGGACAGTACAGGCTGCCATCTGGGTGTTGTGAAGCTTATTTTCATTGGAAGATACCTGATCGCTCTCCACGGTGTGCTGGTGCCATGTTCTTGCTCACGGTGCCTCCTCATACTGCTTGGTTTTAAGGCCGAGAAGGACTCTGCCAGCACGGAGCCGTACTACTGCCTCTCGGACTTCATCGCTCCTCTGCATTCTGGCATCCGTGACTACCTGGGCCTGTTTGCTGTTGCCTGCTTTGGGGTGGAAGAGCTGAGCAAGGCCTATGAGGATGACAGTGACGACTACAGCAGCATCATGGTCAAGGCACTGGGGGACCGGCTGGCAGAGGTAAGGCAGAGGCATCGCACCAAGGGGCTGAGGACAGAGGCTGGGCAGCAGGGAACCTGGGTGGGTGCCTGAACACTGATCAGCCCTTAGAACCGGGGTCTTTTTTTTTCCTTGAGTTGGATGCTGCTGGCTTTAACATTACACATATTTTAATATTATATATCCCCAGATTGCCTGTATATGTTATCTTTAGGGCAGAGCAAAACCTTCAGTGGTGCCATAGTTGGCTGTTGCTCTGAGGGCCTTTACCTCTGCCTTACCTCTGTTGTCTCTCTTTGATGTTATTATGATAGGACACTTTCCTCAGGATCCTAAAAAATTAAAAACAAATTTTTATTTCAGAGCCCCTCATTGTAATGCTGGTGTCATCTGTAGATTGTTCATCTTCCTATGCATGGAATGGGGTAGCCTTGGCCCTGGGAGAGCCTCCCCCTTTTCCTGCAGTGAGCAGTGGAGGGGCTCGCATCTAGAAGGTCCCACCTGCTCTTTCTGGCCAGTGTAGTTTTGGATTAACCTTTAGGGAAATTGTTAAGTTTTAAGGTCTAAAATCCTCAGGTCACTAAGCATGATGCTTCAGAACTCAGGTTGAGGCCACAATGAGCTGCAGAGCAGCTAATAAAGGTACAAACCCATCGAGAATCCAGCCTTTTCCCTCTTGCCAAATCTTTCCTGGCTGTGGTCCAGATGAGGGAGGCTATCCTCATGGCTGTGATTCAGGGGTTGGAGGCTACACTGATGCCGTGAGCCCCCACTTCTGCCTAAGCACACCTGGTGCTCTGGGTCTGAAGGCCTTTGCAGAAGAGCTGCATGAAAGAGTGCGCCGAGAACTGTGGGCCTACTGTGGCAGTGAGCAGCTGGACGTTGCAGACCTGCGCAGGCTGCGGTATGAGGGCATCCGCCCAGCTCCCGGCTACCCCAGCCAGCCTGACCACACCGAGAAGCTCACCATGTGGAGACTCGCGGACATCGAGCAGTCTACGGGTATGTGCCAGGAAGCCGCAGGTTCCTGTCTTCCTTCTTCAGTGCATGGACTCTTATCAGTGTAATGGCACATCTGGTTAAACGTGTTTTTAAAGTGGAAGGGCTTCTAATCACATTGTCCCTTATCCTGTCCATTTTCACTTGTACCTATTCTGGCATTTTACTTCAGCATTAGTATTCTGACATCATCATTTTTAGATTTATCCATTTAAGTGACTTCCTCTTGGCCTACACTAGATGGGAGTTTAGCTTTCTTATACCGTCCCGTGCCTCTCATGCCCCAGTTTCCTGTCACAGGCATGCTAATGTCTTTAATCCCTCCCTTAGTGACCAACCCTTGTCCCTTAGTAATGTCACGTGCCTCACCCTCTTGACCCCTTGCTTGTGGACGGTGTCCTTGGGTGCTGGTCTTGCAGAACGCCCAGCCTTCCCTTCAGCCCTCTTTTCTCTTTTACACTGTTATTAACATTTGTGCTCTTCTGTAATCCTAATTCTCTATTATGTTTTCCTGTGGATTCTAATAGCTGAACGTGAGAAGCTGGCATGTGCCCTTCTGAGACAAAGGCCCAGACACCCGGCCTCAGCGTCCTGTGCCCAGAGCTGAATTGCTCATGGTTCTGTGGCTGCACATTGTCACATCAATATGCTGGTTCTAGTCATTACTTCAGAGTTCATGTAGTTGAGATGGCCCAGTCTAAGCTCACAGTTTTTAGTGGAATTAATAAAAAGCATGCCATCAAAGCTGATAAAGACATCTAGATTTAAGTGAGAAACCATGAGCTGTATTGAATCTGCTTCAGCAGGAACAACACTAACTCTAGAAGTCATGAGATCTGGGTCCAGGTCCTGTTTCCGCCATAAACTGGCTAAGCGACCTCTGGCAGAGTGCTCACCCTTCATGCTGCTCTGTTTCCTTGTCCATAAAACGAGTAGCTTCGAATAGATATCCTTGAGAGGGTCCCTTTGAATTCTCAGATCCCAGGGAAAACTGTGCCTTCTTTTTCACAATGTCGTGGGCTCGTTCTTCACTGGAGCTCCCAGTCGTCCCTAGTATTAGTGGCCCCAGAGAGCCTATGGAGAGCTGTTCAGTTGGTGTTCTCATCTCCAGGGTTAGAGCTCCTGTCTGGCAAGGTCTAGGCTTAGGAGCAAATCAGGGCGCCTGCAGTTGATCTCAGATGGCTGGAGGTAGGAGTATGGAGTCTTTCCCAGGCCTATCCACCCTGGGTCACAGTGCCCAGCCTTAGAGGAGATCTGCATGTCCTGAATTTGTTTATTGACCTGGCAGGAATTTGCAAGACTTATCTGATTGCAGCTTTCATGCTGTGTCATGTGTCTACCTAGAAGGCATGAGTTCACTTTTGTTCACTTATTCAACAAGAGTTCATTGTCTTCTAGGCACTGAGTGAGTAAGCATTTTCCCATGTTGCTCTCTCCAGGCATTAGGTTAACAGAATCATTAGCAATGGCACCTGCTGCAGCAGTCTCAGGCCTCTACTTCTCCAATTTGAAGTCCAAATATTTTGCTGTGGGGAAGATATCCAAGGATCAGGTAAGCTAGCTGTTTCATTTTATGTGGCTTCCCTAGATACCTGCCTTATCTGAAATGAAATTCTAGAACCTCTTTCATTTTAAATATAAATGAGAATAAAGTAAGGGGAAAGCATGAAGAAATTTTCTCTCACCCTCACTTCTACATGCAAACAACACACACACACACACACACACACACACACACACACACACACACACACACAGCTTCTAAGCATCAGATGTTTATTACATGTTGTTTTTCTGCCTAGTGAATAAGGCAACTTGGTAGACAGATAAATAATGTATCTCCATTTAACTCAGTAGATTGCTATTAAGACAGGAAGTGGAAACTACTTAATGTTTCTTGGCAAATGTTGCAGAAACTTCTATTCCAAAGTCTTATCACGTCGGTTTAATAAAATGCTTCTTATCTTTTGCAGGTTCAGGATTATGCTTTGAGGAAGAACATGTCTGTGGCCGAGATTGAGAAATGGCTTGGACCCATTTTGGGATATGATACAGACTAACTTTCTTTGTTTTTCTAACTTTTCTTTTTTTTTTTGCCTTTTTTATTCTTGATGATCCTCAAGGAAATACAACCTAAAGTGCCTTAAAAATAACAACAGAAAGCCTGTGTGCATCTGGCTGACACTGCCTCTTAGAAGAAAAGCCTGAAACTCAGTTGAATAGGGAAGTGCGATCCTGTGGCAAGATGATAGTGTGAGAAATGGGGCATTTTAATCTAAGCAGTTACAACACTGGGTTCTGACGGGGAAGGAAGCGTAGCTCTGCTCCCTCTTTGGAAGACCTCATTTTCTAAAGGCTGGATTAAATGGCTGCAGAACTCCCTTTGGCAAAAGCCATGCTCTCGCTGCTTGCTTGTCAGAAACACTCAAGCCGTTTGCCCCAGAGTGGTCAGTAGTCATGCTCTCTGAGCATTTTTGTCCTCCCATAATTTCACATTTTGGTGCCCCTGAGGAAACAAAAAGGAAATGGGGAGAGAAAGTTACTGTTAAGGGTGGTTAACATCTTTTAGTTGTTTTCAGGATTAAGCAGGATCTCAGCAGGGCTCTGATACCCTGTGCAGAGTTGGCAGGTGGGCAGCATAATGTCACTCATTTCTTACCATCTTATTCCCCTCCAATTCTCAATATATTCAATAATGAAGAATGCTGCCGCCACTCAAGCAACAAGCCTCAAACTCACCCGTGTCATCTTTTTCTTGGATGATTGCGTTATCTCAAAAATGTGCATGCAATTATACACTCAGATGGTGGTATATACACAAGATGGTGGTGGAAATATTCAGGAGAAGGTCGCGTTGAGTCCTGATTTGAGATTTGAAGGATGAAGACCAAGAAGCAAGGGAGGAACAAATGAAGAACTGTCTTTGCTCATGAATAGGAATAGTAAAGATTATAAAGGTATCAGATCTCCCCAAATGGATCTATGGATTCAATACCATTTTCAGTGGAAATTTCAACCGAGATTTTATTGAGTGAAACAAGCAGGTGTTTAAATTTATATGGAATAGCAAAGGACTTAAAATTACCAAATGCTTCTACATATAAAGGAGGGGTTGAGAAGACACACCCTATATGATACAATTGTTTGTTTTTGATTTTTTTGAGACGGAGCTTCACTCTTGTCACCCAGGCTGGAGTCCAATGGTGCAGTCTCGGCTCAATGCAGCCTCTGCCTCCTGGGTTCAGGCAGTCTCCTGCCTCAGCCTCCCGAGTAGCTGGGATTACAGGTGCACGCCACCACGCCTGGTTAATGTGGTGCAGAGGTAGGCATTATGAGCAGGGAAACAAAATAAAGGCCCAGAAACTCACCCATGCGTATGTTGACCTTTGTGAAATGACCTGGTGGCAGGGAGGTCAGTGGGGACAGGAAGGACCACTCCCTAAGTAGTCCCAGAACAGTGGCTATTCATGTGGGAAAAAAAAAAAAAATTTGAATTCCTCGCACCCTACCCAATGATAAGTTCCAAATATGTTAAGGGCTTCCGTATAGAAAGCAAAAATTGTCACTGTTTGGATGAAAAAGGCTTAGTGCAGGAAAGAATCTCTTGAGACATAACGTAGTTATCATAAATGATAAGATGGTTAAGTAAACTCTGTTAAAACTAAAGCTTATATTAAGAAAACATTTAAGTGAGAAGATGAGCCACAACTTGAGAAGACATTTATAATACGAATAACTGACAAAGGATTCATAATCACAAATATAGAGAATTCCTGTTTAAAAAAAACTCAATAGAAAACTAGAGAAGACTTGAAAAGGCATTTCACACAAGAGGAAATATGTAGGGCTTTTAAATAAATAGAAAGATGTTCTTTAGCATTGCCGACCAGAGAAATATGAATTCGGACCACAATGAGATTCCATTTTATATCCATAAGATTTGCAAAAGTTGGGTCTCGGTACCAGTTGTTAGATCTATAGGGACTTGTGGATGTGTGAACAGGCACCACTGCTTTAAAAAAACGGTTATACCTCACAGACTTGAACATTTGAAGACCTTATGATCTTGCTTCCAACTCCCACCTGTATGTCCAACAAACTCTTGCATGTGGCCACTAGGAGGAATGTGTAAGAATGTTCATCGTAACGTATTTATAATAATAACTGGAAAAGGTGAAATGTATGTCTGTCTACAGGAGAATAGGTGAATAGTTAGATATGTGTATTCACCCTACTGGATATTATTCAATAATGAAAATGAGTGAACTACAGCTAGACCTCGCAATAAGAATGAATCTCAGAAAATATTAAGGAAAGCTCAAAACGAAACAAAACTGAGCTCAAAACCGAGCAAAACCAAAGAATATGTAGTCTGAGCATGCATGTATCATAAAACTGTATCGTAAAAACAGAAGAGGGTAACAATGATAAACCAAAATTTAGCATAGTAATTACCACGGAAGGAGGAAATGGAGGGGACGAGAACACATAGGTAGATGTCAGGTTATGCGGCTGTTCTGGTTCCTGGCTGGTAGGCTTACGGGTGTTTACTATATGCTATTACTATATTATGCTTTATAACTAATATATAACAGAGTTTTATACATATTAAATATGTTCTACTTAATATTGTATTAAATATATTGTTAAAAAATAAAGGCAGAGTGGAATGATCATCTAAAATCTGATATGGTGATTTTGTCGGTAGTGTTTGTATATGTCAAATACAGTTTTTAAGGAAAGGAAGAACATCTTAGAGTAAACAGCAGCTAGAAAGGACAGGGGCGGGAGGGTGGCACCTCTGCGCCGCTGCCAGCAGTTGCCCAGATACCAGTCTTTGAGGAATGAGTGGGTGACTAAGACAGAAGCCAGGGGATGGGAGAAAGGATGAGTTTTGGAAAGATTTGATGTGACCAGACTGAATATGGGCAGTTGGATACTAGACTTTGGAATGTGAAAAGAATGTCGAGTTAGAATTGAGAGACTTCAGTGTGGAGATGGAGGTCAGCCTCCAGTGCAGTGCAGTCACCTATGGAGCATATGAAGGGAAGAGAATCTGGAGGAGGAGAAGGCGGTGGGGAGCCAGGAAAGGAGCAGCTGTGGGTTGGAGGAAGCCAGAAGGGAGAGTGAAGTGCCAGGGAAAGCAAGGAAGAGAGTTTGAAGGCATGTCAGCAGAATCCAATGCTGCAAAGAGGTCTGGGAATGGGATTGCTAGGGCCCTTTCCACAGTGAACCCCTCAAGAGCAGTTTCAGGGGATCATGGGGCCTGTTGGCAGACTCAGCCAACTGCCAGGTTGAAGATTGAATGGGAGGTGTGGAAGATTTATTGGCTCATTTAAAGAAGATTGGAGGGAAAGGTAGGTTTGAGACAGAAAAGGATTATATGCTGAGGATAAAGCACAGGTACAGAGGGTTGCAGATAGTACAGAGATCTTTGAAAAAATCATTTTAACCCAACTTCCAGGGAGACGGCATTTCTTCTGCCAGTCAATAATACCATCAACCTGGGAGTTGGCCCTGACCGCTACAGTCTTAGCTCCTGCTGCTGTAACAGAATATCACAAACCAGGTGGCTTATAAAGAACAGACATTTCTTTCTTACAGTTCAGGAGGCTGGAAGTCCAAGATCACGGTGCCATCATGGCTGGGTTCTGGGGAGGGTCCTCTTCTGGGATGCAGTGGCCAACTTCTCATGTTCTCATGGTGATGGGTAAGTTTGCTTTCTGTCCTCTCATAAGGGCACTAATCCCATTCATGAGGGCTCCACCTTCATGACCTACCTACCTCCCAAAGATGCCCTCCAAATAGCATCTTCCTGGGAATTCCATTTCGACATGAATTGTGGGGGATACAGTCAGACCATAACACCTCTCTTTTTCTCAACCTTCACATCCAGTTGGCTCCCCAGCCCTGGTGGTTTTACACACTAGATAGGTCTTACGTTCATCTCTACGCCTGCCCTGGTTTAGGTTCTCATCGTTCCTCCTCTGGATTCGTCTGCAACACAGACTGCCTGGTTGGTTCCGCACCTCCTAGAGCTGTAAGAGGGGGCTCTCTGATTCTTTACACCCCTGCCTCGATCCTCTGCTGCCTGAGTTACTGTCTTCTCGTCACCTATAGTATATCCCAGCTCTTTAGAGGCATGGAAAGCCTTCCATGTCTGACCCTGCCTCATGCCTCATAACCCTAGACCACTGCTGTACCCTGAGGAGGTTATCTGCACATTGGCCCCTCTGTCTGAAGTAACCCCACCCCAATTCCACCTAATTTGGGAAAGCTTTCCAACCCTTCCTTCCACCACCTCAAAGCTTAAGTGAAGTGACCCTTCTTCTTGCCTCCATAACACCAACGTGCACATTTCATACAGCCCTTGCTGAAACATAATCTAGATCCCTGTTAGACTTAATGTTTCCTAAGGGCAGGTTTGAACCTTACTCATCTTTCTATATATGGTGTCTAGAATAGTGTTTGCTTTATGATAGGTGCTCAGTAAAAGTTGTCTTGAATGAGTTGAGCAGACCCTCTAGGGATAGGAGTTGGGGAGCAGACTGCAAAGCCTCATTAGGGCAGGGCCATGCCTCTCTTCCTGAGCTTGGAATCTCCAGAGCCTAGTTCAGTGCCTGCCATGAAATTGTTCACTCCATCAAGCGTTGTTAAGTGAGTCGGGGGCAGAGGGACCGTGATGGTTTTCTTTCTCTCAGAAAGAAACCGGAGACTCAAAGCTCTAGCACCCTTTCTACAGCCACCTTCAGGATTTCATGTTAGAAGTGGCCCAAGTGATATTTCCTTTACTGTCCTATGAAGACAGCATATTGGCAGCCCTGCAAAAGCAAAAAAAAAAAAACACCCTCAATTCATGGCTTACTTATTTGCTACAAATGAGCTTGTGTTTCTTTCTATATAAGGAAATATATGCTAGTATATGCATTAAAACATCAAGAAGAGGCCAGATGTGATGGCTCACACCTGTAATCCCAGCACTTTGGGAGGCCAAGGCAGGCGAATCACGAGATCAAGAGATCAAGACCATCCTGGCCAACATGGTGAAACCTCGTCTCTACTAAAAGTAAAAAAATTAGCTGGGTGTGGTGGTGCACGCCTGTAGTCCCAGGTACTCGGGAGGCTGATGCAGGAGAATAGCTTGAACCCAGGAGGCAGAGGTTGCAGTGAGCCAAGATTGCACCACTGCACTGCAGCCTGGGCAGCAGAGCAAGACTCTGTCTCAAAAACAAACAAACAAAAAACAAAAAGAAAACATCCAGAAGAGCTAGGCAGTGTCACATGCCTGTAAACTCAGCCACTCAGGAGGCTGAAGTGGGAGGATTGCTTGAGACCAGGAATTTCAGGCTCCAGGGAGCTATGATTGCACCACTGTACTCTAGCCTGTGCTGAGACCTCATCTCTTAACAAATAAAAAGTCTTTAAGAGGATACACAAATTCTTAAGTGTTTACCTCTAGGGAATGGGATTATGGGATCAGAGGTGAGGGAACTCGTGGCTTGGCTATTTCCCATTCTTTCTGCACTGTTTCAAATTTTTACAAGTGGATATGATTGTACTTTTAAAAAGATTAGCTTGGCAACAAATCTCACCTAAAGTGGGTGCTATTTTGAATAGTCTGAGTGAACAGTAAGAATTTAAATGAAGTAACCCCTAAACTCAGCCAGTCCCATTTTTTTTTTTAACACTTGGAATATCTAATTCCATTTACACTCCATTCTTCAAATGTAATTTTAGAAGATGTCTTTTGGCTCATCCCTTGGTTTTAAGTATTATACCCTTTGGAGACTCACAAAACAAGCAGTCCCTAAATTCTTGCCTACGAAAGTATCTTAGATTAAATGGTTTTCGAGAACCTTGAGAGTATATATGCTATGAAACAGAAGAAACAAGAACTGGACAGTCATAAACGCTGTTGATCACAGGCAGTCTCTACCATCTGTAAGGTAAATATAATATATATGGCGACCTGCCGAGTGTGAACCTGCAGCAGGTGAGGAAGGAACTGTGAACTCTTACAATCTTGTTTCTTCATTTCCCAGAGAAAAACTCAGCAAAGAGAAAAGGACATTTCCTTCCAGATTATCTGAAAGAATTTCAATGCTTACCTTTAATCATGTGACATTGTTTATCTTATTAATAGAAAAGAAGAGGTATTTATTTTGTGCATATTTTCAATAAAATATATAAAATCCAGTTGGTATATAGTGCTAAATGTCATTAATTGAAAATATTTTAACCTGATGTGATAGATTGTTGTTGACTTTTTAAAATTCTGTTGAGATGAGCTTGTCAAGAAAATTTGAAGGATTCCAGGGGAAACATCATAGTGTTAAAATGCTTGGTTATTTTTAAGATAATGCAACTCTTCTCAGAAAAGGTAGCAATTAGCTCCAAGAGATATTTCAATGGCTGATATAAAACCTTCCTTCCAATCACCATCAGATTTTTCATTACATTGCTATGGGCAAGTACTAGCATCCAGTTTGAAACCGTTGAGAATGCTGAAGTACAGCAAACTGAGGTGACAGCTTGGTCCTCAGTAGAGCCAGGCCTGCTTCCTGGTCTGTGGGATTCCATTTCTCTCCACTGGGCCTTCAAATTAAATCTTTAGGCCAGGTGCGGTGGCTCACACCTATAATCCCAGCACTTTGGGAGGCCGAGGCAGGTGGATCACCTGAGCCCGGGAGTTTGAGACCAGCCTGGCCAACAGGGAGAAACCCCGTCTCTACTAAAAATACAGAATTAGCTGGGCGTGGTGGTACATGCCTGTAATCCCAGCTACTCGGGAGGCTAAGGCAGGAGAATCACTTTAACCCAGGAGAGGGAGGTTTTGGT